ACATTTATATAGCGCTTTTCTGGGCACTCAAAGTGTTTTACATAGAAGGGGGGATCTCCTCATCCACCACCAGTGTGCAGCATCCACCTGGATGATGCGACGGCAGCCATATTGTGCCAGAACGCCCACCACACACCAGCTTATTGGTGGAGAGGAGACAGAGTGATGAAGCCAATCAGCAGATATGGGGATGGTTAGGAGGTCATGATGGTCAAAGGCCAATGGGAGAATTTGGCCAGGTCACCGGGGTTACACCCCTACTCTTTTTCAAAGGACATCCTGGGATTTTTAATGACCGCAGAGAGTCAGGACCTCGGTTTAACGTCTCATCCGAAAGACGGTGCTTTTTGTCAGTATAGTGTCCCCATCACTACACTGGGGCGTTAGGACCCACACAGATCACAGGGTGAGCACCCCCTGCTGGCCTCACTAACACCTCTTCCAGCAGCAACCTAGTTTTCCCAGGAGGTCTCCCGTCCAGGCTCAACCCTGCTTAGCTTCAGTGGGCAACCAGTCTTGGGCTGCAGGGTGATATGGCTGCTGTAAAACCAAAACAATACCCGTTCTTGTCTTAGGACAACTTTTGATTAACTTTTTTTGATCCACTTCAAATGTTGACTACTGTATGTTGCATGCATTATTTTAAATTAAATAGTTACACTTAAAAAAAAAAAAAAGTGTTTATCATTATAAAATGAATATCAAAGGGATAATTTATGCATGTTGTATAGCCTTAGCATTTAAAAATCTCAGCATTGCATTTTTTCCCCCCATGTAGATATGTATATTGATGCCTATAAATATCAAATTGTTTATCCTTGTTCTTTAAAGATTTCATAAGTATTATGACATTAGATAGTCAAATGTATATTGAATATCTTAAAATATTCAAATGTGTAAATTTAGAAAATGTATTATATTAACAGAAATCTATTTTCAGTATATCTAATGATGGTTCATCTGTTTGAAAAGTAGCCCTTTTTTGCTTCTGGGTTGACCCAAGTAGAATTTGCATGGTATTTCCATGTCAAATGTTTGACTGTGTGCTCCCATGTTTTCAGGTTTCTGGAGGACTCTGGACGCAGTGTGTTTCAGTGCTCAACGAGACTCAGCAGAAGGCCATCCAGGACCTCCTGAACAAGGCTTGAGTAAACGAGAGAAGCCGTAACCCTATAAAACAGCCCATCTATTGAGGATTAATAAACTTTGCACCTGGAATTCCACATCTAGATTTTTGGCCCTTTCCTTATTTTGAGTAAAGAACTGCCATGTGACTTGAGTTTGTGTTGGGCCGCTGAGCCGTCTGGACCTGATCTCTCAAAGTCTTCAACAACAGCAGGGCCGAGCGTCCAGCGACTACATGCGTGTTTGTGTGTCTCACCTCAAAAAGGGCCAATGGCTTCAAAAACCCTCATCTTGAGCGGACGTGGTGGGGTTTAGGGGTATGAAATGAAACTAACAGTCATCCATCATAGATCGTTAAGAATTTCTGGTGTAGAAATTGTGCTTTTCTGTCTTATGAGATCAGTTATAGTTGTTTTGTCAACTTGTGTGTCTGTCGATCCTTGCTGATGCTGATTTAGGGGTCGGTCCGACTCTTTTCACCGATGGATTGGACTGAACGGACTCTGATTTGGATGAGCTCGAATGCAATAGAGCGATGATGCAGCGGTCATGGTGTTGACGTCTTGTTTGGTTTTCTTTTAGGTTTTTGTTTTCTCTTCAACGCTGGTCCAGATCGCCGGCGATGATGTTTGGGAGAAACGGGCAACGGTTTGCTCCACCTTCGCTGATATGTGTGTCACGGCTAATATTGTCTGTCATTGGCTCATTTAATCCATTTAATGAAATGAAACAACATAGGAAAACCGTGACTCTGGGTTCAGGGCTTCTGATATTATGAAGGAAATGCACAAATCTGAAGCCAGATGGCTTATGGGTTGTCACATGTCCATGGAACATTTGTATATGCAATCTATCCTGGTTAATCATTTTACAACACTTTCAGTATTAAAGATACAAGACATGCTGAACTTTGTGTCAGTTTCATTGCTATCTAATGCTTTCAATACGTGAAAATGGAATCCAGTTAGCTTAAATACAATTAAAATGTAAATGTTACATTACTTTGATCCTATTAACTACAGTAAACTTTTTTTTTCCTTCTAAGGTTTACTGTAGGTTTTCTCACTATAATGCTTTTTAACTCGTTTACAAGAGGATACAGTGCTTAAGGCGGAAACTAACATGAAAGCTTTTCACATGGTATTTTATTACGGATTTACAGCAGTAACTAGAGAAAGTGATTGGGAGTTTGTAGGAAAAGATTTGAAATCTCTGAAATGTACTTTAAAAACTTTAAGTATATAAACATGGTTTCCGCAGGTCTTCCAAGTTTTATCAAATTAAGGCTTTAGTTTAAAGGGGTCATATGATGCTGCTAAAAAAAACATTATTTTGTGTATTTGGTGTAATGAAATGTTTATGCGGTTTAAGGTTCAAAAAACATTATTTTCCACATACTGTACATTATTGTTTCTCCTCTATGCCCCGCCTTTTTGAAACGTGTCGATTTTTACAAAGCTCATCGTTCTAAAAAAAGTAAGGTGTGCTGTGATTGGCCAACAATCCAGTACCTCAAGCGTGTGACAGAAATGTTACTCCCCTTACCATACTGTGATGATGCCCTGTCAAGCCGGAGCGACGATGCAAAAACATGAAAACCCATTATAAACGAGGCATTAGTTCCATCCAGTGGGGACATAATTAAGGATTATAATGACTTATACTGTCTTTTTACGTGTTGCATCGTGCCGCGTAAACATAAAACCATGTCTGCATTTGTGATCGGAGAAATGACAAACGACAAGCCCTACTCTACACTGCCCAAAAAACATGCTTTATATTACATATAAAAACTTTAAATATAAAAGACGTACTTACAGTCTTTGAGTCCATTTTTGGAAGGCCAAACAAAGTAGTTTTGCTTTCACAACGAAACACGGCGGCCTAGAGTGAGCAGAGGCGGCGGATTCGACAAAGGAGCGTCCGGCGGGCTTGCGGCAACCGCATGTGACAACCCCAGGCTGGGCTCCGCTTCGTCCACAGTGAAAGCCGATCCGGCAATCCACAGCGCAAAGTTGTAGTATTTCCTCAGCGACCAGCACGGATCAGCTCCAGACATGACATGAAGCAGATATCGTCCTCTTTTGGAAGGCCAAACAAAGTAGTTTCGCTTTCACAACGAAACACACAGTGCCTTCACGACATGGCGGCGGCAACAACAATACTACAGCGAGAATAAAAGGTATGCCTTCTTTCTTTACATGAACATTTGGCCGGCATTATGCAAATCTTCCCACATAGTGATGTAGACATGTGGGAGCGTGTTAGAACGAGCCGTTTTAGGTAGGTGTGGCTGACTCATAACTTTTATAAAGAATATCTCTTTGGATTTGAGACTTTAGTCTTTGCAACTTTACAGATCTTCTTTATGCACCAAGAGCTTGTAACACTCCAAAGAGAAAGGAACAATTTAAATCGCATCATATGACCCCGTTAAGGCTTTTGTTTTAGGTGTTAAATCTGAGCAGAATGTCTTAAATTCAAATCATGGCAATTAAATCATGGCACACACACAAACACATAGATCTTTCACAGTATTTTTGTTTTGTATTGCATTATAAATATCTAAACCTTAAAATCAAGATACATTGACTTGAGATGCAAACTGAGGATATGAAGTCTTGTTCTCTGAGAAATGGAACAAAATCGAGTTTATGCTTAAACCGAACAAACACGTCAATGGGGTATGAAAACTTTTTTTCCATTTGAATTAAGTTGAGTTCTGACGAATCTTACGATACATAATCTAAACGATGTCTTGAGGCCACTGACAGATATTTGTTCTTGTTTCAATCGTAAATTCTATTTATTTTGATATTTTTTTCATAAAGGCTTCATACGTCATTTTGCTTCTCTAGTAAATATATCTTGATTTAAGAATCTTTGGCCGTTTGCCTTGGAAAACGACAAAAATACAGAGGAAGAGCATCACTTTTTGCAGCATGTTTAGAAGGTACAGTTAAAGTTATTTCAATATATACAGGTGCATCTCAAGTTAGAATGTCGTGGAAAAGTTCATTTATGTCAGTAATTCAACTCAAATTGTGAAACTCGTGTATTAAATAAATTCAATGCACACAGACTGAAGTAGTTTAAGTCTTTGGTTCTTTTAATTGTGATGATTTTGGCTCACATTTAACAAAAACCCACCAATTCACTATCTCAACAAATTAGAATA